AGCTCCAGGCCCCATAAACATTAAAAAAGCCATTAAAGTAGCAGTTAATTTTTTTCCTCTCAATAAAATTGCCTGGACTTGACAACCATGACCGATTCCCTCCGTTGCCATTGTCACGCTGCCAGTCTGCATGGGGAATAAAATTAAACAAAAATGAAGTGGCTGTGTGCTAATCTCAGATTTATTGTAGAGTTTTGTGTATGAGCCCCTTCCCCAGTCGATGCTCTGTGGAGAGCTGAGGCTTCGTTGTCGTGCCCACGGCTAAACAGATCTTTTCCTCCAGTTTTCACTGAACTACCCCAAACTGCAGATACCGTTAAGGGAAGGCACCAAACCTTGCGAATCACGAGGCCAGTTACAAATGCAGATTGGTGTGGCGAAGTGGGGTCCCCCAGCTCTGAGACTGGGGTGTGGGGCCCGGCTGTGAGGTCATCAGCCCATGTCTGTGCTGAGCTGCATGTGTCTCCATCTCCCACATCCAGGCTTTTGGTTGCCAAAAGCAGAGCAATAGCAGTGACAGCAGAATCCTCAACAAGATGCAAATTGTCTCAAATGCACTGAGGGGGAAAAAGAAAAAGAGCTTTGTATGCACAGAGAGCCTTCAGCTGGAGCTCTCCTTGGGATGTTTGCAGGATCCTTTGGAGTGTGTTTGGGGTTTGCATCTGTTGCTTTTAATAGCAGACACGTCCTGGTCCCCATCCTCCCGGCCATTGCCCAGGCAGGGTCTGCTCACAGCAGCACCAGCGTGAGCGGAGCAGGCGTCAGGGCCCTCGCGCTGCTGGCCCAGCCGCGTGTCCCTCACAGAACAGTCTGTGCCTCGGGCCCTTCCTTAGCTGGAACGAGAGCGTGGACAGACGCCAGGCTCTGGGGAAGAAGCAGCATCTGAAAATTGGGTAGTTAAATGCCTGCAGAGTGTCCTGCTGGAGGAGGAATCTGGCAGATTTTGGCAGCGCTGCCTTTGGCACACTCGCTTTGGGGTCACCTCAGCAGCAGGAGGGGATGCTGCCTGCTGCCAGGTAACCTCTGACTGTGCTTTTTTCCTTTAATGACAAACCTGGAGCCTTGCGGGCTGTTTAATTACAGTGCAAGAGGTGAAGCATGACCAAAGCCGGACCTTCCTCCAAGAACTCATTTCTCTGGGGGGAGGTTGGGTGCACCAGCATCCCACAGGGCTCCTGCATGGACCAGGGCAGGACACGGGTCACTGGCAGATACCTGCCCTCCCTCGGGGCGATGCAGAGCACAGAGGTGGGGTCCAGGAGTGCCCCTCGTGGTGTGTATTTGAGGTGTGTGTTTGTGCCTCCACAGAGGGGGCTGGGTTTGGCTCAGAGGAAGCTGGAGGCCAGGTTGGGGAACGAAGGCCCCTCTGACCACCTTCAGTGGTGCCGCACTGAAACCTGGATTAGTGCAGGGATGTGTGGTCCAGGGACGAACCCTTCACAAGCCGCCTGCAGTGCAGGAAGTGTCAAGGGCTGGTTCCTGACAGAGCACAAGGTGAGGTGTTGGGATGAAGAGGCTGTCAGATGCCCCTCACTCCCCCGATATGTGTGAAAGCGAGAGCTCTGGCCCAGGTCAGCCCTGAGCCACCCTCGCTACACTCAGCCCACAGAGCTGGGGCAGCTGGGAGGAACACACAAGGTAAAAGCACTTGTCACAAGGAATGAAGTTGGAAACACGTCTTGGGAAAGTCTTTTTGATTCTAATTGGCACTTCTGAGGCTGCTGCTGGAGGCTTCTGGACCGGGCTGATGCCAGAGCACATCCCAGAGCTCTGCTCTCCATACTGAGCCTGTCCTCAGAGGACCCAGAGAGGGGTTTGTGGGAGCCAGGGCTTGTCTGTGCCCACGTCAGGGCATCTGCTGACCTGTGGCAGCACCAATGGGGACCTTTGGGTAAAACCAAAAAGCAGCAGTGGTCCAGGTGGAGCAGCTCTGCCCCTTGGCTCTTGTCTGAGGCTGTGTTGGGTGCAGACAGGTTTAAAGTCTCGTTTAAGCAGCTCCTCTGTACAGCTGGCAAAGGTTAAAAGATCTCCAGTGTCTTTGCATTTAATTATCTCTTTTAGTGGCAGATTATTGTTTTTCATGGGAGATGAAATCTGGATGGGTTTGAAGGACATTCCTCCTGCACCAGGGGCTGGAATGATTTGTTCGGAGCTGCTACGCTTCGTCTATCCTTGTTAAGTACCCAGAGAATACAGACTGGCACCAAGGGAATTTATTGTGACATGTAAAAATAGGGAGTGTTGGAAAAAGCTGTAGGCTTCAGAGTATTTAACTACCTTGTATCCTTGCTATATAGCAGGAAGCTTTCCTTGAATTTGAGATGCCAAAGGTGGGAGAACACCTACTGCCTTGCTGTGGGGCTGGCACTGGTACCCTGGGAGAGCAAGAGCCGCTATCCCTGTGCTGCTCAGGTGGAAGTGTGGCTGTGCTAAAGGGGATTAACACCAAAAGGGCTCAACGTTGGAAAGTTAGGCATGAGTGAAAATGTAAATAGGCTCAGCAAGCTTTTTTAGTTTTTATACATGAAAATTACGCATTACCATTGTCACAGCTCGTTTGGTTGCCAACCATTCCTGCTGTCTGAGTGGCACAAAGGGAAGGGCTGGCTGTGAGCTCTGCCCTTGCCAGCATTGTCTCTGCGCCTCCCCAGCTCCTGACCCCAGTTCTTTACGGAGGGATGGAGCTGCAGGGCACCAAGATGGGCAGGTTGGAAGAGAGAGCAGGCTCAGGCATTGGGAACTGCATATTTCGGGTACCCAGGGTGTGATGATAACCTGCTTGGGCACTTCAGTCCCTTCCTGTGCCTCCTCCCCAGGCAGGGTAGTAGTGCTTTGCTTTCCAGACTACTCACAGGAGAAATCCCATCACTTGCTCTAGCCCTTTTTGTCCTTTTCAAAAAGCCCTTCTGAAGCCTCTCCCTCTGGGAAATGAATTCCTCTCACATACACTGCTTCCAAGGACCTTCTGGCAACCCCTACAGCAGTGCTGCAGCATCAACAGTGCCAGGTGAGGTGCCTGTCATGGGAGTTAATCCCCTTTAATCTCTTCCCTCCTCCCTTGAGCCAAGCATACAATCTCCCACTGTTACAGGAATGTACATTAAATGTGGCTCCATCTTTCCATCTTTCTGGTGGGATGCTGCTGCACGCCAGCCAGAGGTCACTGCCCCAGCAGCAGCAGCCCCTCGTGTTACTCACAGGGGGTTTGTTTACAATCCAACAGAGCTGCTCTTGTGCACCAAATGGGCACCGTGGAGCCTTCAGCATCAGTCTGCCTCTTCCTCATTTTGTGCAGTTGAGGGGTGCCCAGAGCAGCTCATGTGATGTGGTTCCATCCGTGCGTGGTGCGTTACGTGCAGCATCACCACCCAGCTGAGCCCTGGGGTCCTGCTGCCTCGCTCAGGGCTGGAGGGTGCAGGGTAGCTGTGTCTGGCTGTGGTCCCGTGTCCCTGCAGAGCTGCCACCTGCCCACAGGCACTCTGGGGCGGTGGCAGCTCTCCCCAGCAAGCAGTGGTCCTGACCAGCACAGTCTGTGAATGGCCTTTGGGAAAACAGGGAAAGAACCCCCTTCGTGGGATTCCGGGCATGAGTCCTGGCTCTTTCTGCTGTTTAAACAGCTCTCAGACAAATGCCTTTGTGCTGTGGCTGTTGGCTCAAGCTCTGCCATGGTGGTGCTCCCCAGCCCTCCAGGAACTGAGTGTGTGGAGATCCAAGCTGCCAAGGGAGAGGAATGCAGAGGAGCCACTGCCATGGGATGTGGAGAGCTCTGCTTCCCGCCACCCCCTGCTCTTGTTTGCTAAATGACTGTAGTCTGGGCTCCAGGGCAGCTCTCCCATGACCTGGGCATCTCTTTCTTACCTATGGCATTAATTCCCCGTTTCCCTGAACGCTTTTCTGCAGCCGAGGGAAGCGCAGCTCCTGGCAGAGCCGTGCTGCCCCTCGTCACCGTGCCAGGCCATGGCAGGGGCAGGAGTGATGCTGCTGGACAGGGGCTCACCGACCAGGCAGGAGCAGGGACATGCTCAGGGGATGGCTGCTCGGTGGGCAGCTCACTGCCTTCAGCTGCTGCATTTGAGCAGGTTTCACTCAGCAAAGCACACATGCTGAAATCCCACAAAAGTGTGGATAGGAAGGGATAGGAAGCACTCACTGCCCTGCCTCTCCCCAGCTGCCTTTAATTGGATTTCTCTTAAAAAAACAAAATGTGGAACAGCGAAGCACTGGCAGCACAGACCTTCTGCTGGGACTCTCTGGGGAGCAGGAGGCAGGGCCGGGGAGGGGGTTTGGGCTCGAGCTGAAGCCTTTGGTCACACAGCAGTGTGGCTCTGCCTGCCGTGGGGAGACATGCCCAGGCTTCCCGCTGAGCTCTGCCCAGGTATGAGGGGAGGGAAGGAGGTTGTGGTGGATGGAGGCTCTTAAATGTGGGCAGTCTGCATGCTCCTGCTCTGCAGGGGGAAGGGGGCAGAAAATGGGCTTTAACAGTGCAGTGTGTGGTGACTGGAGCATCTCTACCAGAGCGGGCGGCTGCCTCCTGCCCGGGGCTGGAGGAGACACCTGACCTTCCCCTGCTCTCAGGGAAGGCCATACAGGTTTCTGTGTAGCTGTGGAGGGAGGCTGAGCACAGTCTAGGGTCCCTGCTCGGGTGTGGATGGGGCTGGGGTTTGTCTGGACGTTTTACATGGCAATAAACAGATCTGTGCATCCCACAGGAGGTGCTGCAAGCTGTGACCAGGGCTAAGGGCTGGAAGTGGAACCCAGAGCAGGGCGGGAGGGGAGGGCATTGCTCCATGTGCCACAACCCTGCTGTCAGCCCTCTGGGTGCCTGAGGTCAGCACATGGGGCAGAGCTCCCAGCCTTGGGCACCTTCCTTCTCCTGGTGCCAGGACATGCTGGGAGGTGCGGTCAGGAGGCTGCTATAACCACATGATCTCCACTCCTGCACCTGATGTTGCTCCTGCTGTCCCCTGCTCCCATGTCACTCCCTCCTGTCCCCCCCACAGGGCTGTAATGTCATGGAAGATCAGGACCTTCGCGACATTGGGATCGGTGACCCGCAGCACCGGCGGAAGCTGCTCCAGGCTGCTCGTTCCCTCCCGAAGGTTAGCACTGATTCCTTCCCGTGGGACAGGGACAGGGCCTTGCCCGGCATGGCTGTGAACTCAGGGGAAACAAAAACCAGTTCCTGTGTCTCTGGCCACAGAGGGATCCCAGGGGCTATGGGAAGGGTTTTGGGAACAGCGAGGAGGAGGAGGATTATACTGGTCTGCCAGGCTATGCAGATGGTGGTGGCTCTATGCTGGGGAGAGGGTGGCTGTTCCTCCTGCCAATCCCAAGAGCATTTCTTGTTCATACAGTGATTTTGTTACTGTAAAGCGTTAGTGGAGATGGTGATGGGCTGTAAACTGATTTCCATTGACCCCGTATCCCTCAGGATCCCTGCAGCTTTTAACCCCTTTCTTGTGCTTTCACAGTTGAAACCCCTGGGCTGTGATGGGAACAGCCAGCCATCAGTTCCTGCATGGCTCGACTCCCTGGGGCTGCAGGATTACATCCAGTCCTTCCTCTCAAGTGGCTACAGCTCTATCGACACTGTGAAAAACCTCTGGGAGCTTGAGATAGTGAACGTGAGTGTTGCCTCTCTCCAGCCGGGCAGCAAGGTCCTGCCCATTCCCTGGGGCTGACACTTGTCATGAATGGTCTCATGAAGCCACTTGGTGCCAAGGGCAGGAGAGCCCACGGTGACCATGTCTGTCCTTGCAGGTACTGAAGGTGAACCTGCTCGGCCATCGGAAGAGGATCATAGCCTCGCTGGCAGACAGACCGTACGAGGAGCCACCGGCCAAGCCGCCGCGGTTCTCACAGCTGAGAGTGAGTCCCTGCTCGTGCTCCCTGCCTGTCTTGTGTGGCTGTGTGGGCACATCAGTGCTGGGAGAAATCTTGGCGTGTCCAGTGTGTCTGTTCAGCTCCTCACCTCATCCTCTCCAGCCACCCAGGCAGCAAATACCAGTGCAGGCGTGACCCTGTGATTGCAGTGAGTGGGGGAAAACCACATCCAGCCCTTGCAGGTCAGCCTCTGGATGCCATCCCACAGGAAAGGTCAGGCCACTCCTTGGGATCAAGTGCCTGCACTGAAGGGGTGCAGGGTGCCACCCTCGCCTCTGCCCGAGGGGAATGCTGAGCCCACTTCCTTGCCCTTGTTTCCTGGCCAGACGTGCAGCAGTCTTTGGCAGACAGCCCATCTGGAGAAGGGCTGCAGCTGGGGCCTGGTGTTTGATTGCGCTATTGGGAGCCGGAACCCATCTCCCTGGCCTGGCTGGGCTGCTGAGAACTCATGCTGTCACTGCCAAATAGCACTCGATGAGATGTGTGGATGCTGATTTTTGCTGTAGGAGTGGCAGCATTTGGATGTCTTGTTATGGGAGCTGTCTGGGAGGGAGCTGTCACATTCCCATTCTTCCTGAAAACTGGCATTTGAGAACTGAGTTTGGCAAAAGCCACAGGGCTCATAGCGACCCTGAGAGCTCAGGAGCATGGCGGCGTGTGCTGCTGCCTCCTCCCGGTGATTGCAAATCAGCTTCCTGGAGCAGGAATTGGAATGATTAGTTTCCCCATCCTGAGCATCCTGTTCTTGCTCTGCTGCAGAGCTCTGCACTCTTGTCTTGCATTCCCAAGTGAGTTGGGCTGCTGTGCCCTGCTTGCTCACATGGGATATTCTAGGAACCAGATTCAGGTGCGAGAACAGAGAGGATTCACATTGGTGATGCACCAGGAGGGTGCCAGGCCTTTGCCCGCTGCTCAACCCCCAAAACATCCCCATGAGATGGATGAGACTGAAGGCAGCAGGGCTGGCGGGGAAGAAGGGTCCTTTGGTGCAGCTCAGCTGATTGAGATGCTGCCCAGGGAGGCTGGGTGAGAGAATGGACCATTTGCAGCATTTCCTGGCGCTGCAGCTGGTGTGATCCGGTGGGGAGGCACGGAGGGACGTCAATGGCAAATTAAGCGAGTGTGTTGAATAGGACTAATGCGGCTGCAGCTGTGCAGAGGCTGCCAGGCTGACCTCACGCTGTGCTCCGGGGCTCCACTCTGGGCTGGCTGATCATCAGCGCCTTCGGGGGCTTTGCTCAGTGTTTAGGGGAGCTCGTTCCTCTGTAAACACCCTGCCTGCAGCTCAGTGAGTCCCCTGCCCCTGGGATGAGCTCACAGAGGCAGAGGTGTGCCTGCAGAAGGGGCTGCATACCTGGCTGAAACCATCCTCAAGCAAATTATGGGTCTCATGCAGAAGATAAAGGGTGGGATTGTTGGCACTGAGGCAGGAGCCCCCAGAGCAGGAGCTGACCCCATTAGCTCTGCTCTCTGCACCCTGTGCCAGGCAGTGTAGAGGGGAGCGATGTGGGGCACAGCCCAAATTGACTGGGAGTCTTTGTGGTGTCTGTTCATTTCAGTGCCAGGACTTGATGTCCCAGACGTCATCGCCCTTGAGCCAGAATGACTCCTGCACAGGCAGATCTGCCGATCTCCTGCTGCCCTCCGGGGATACCAGCAAGAGGCAACACGACCGTGGCACTGAGGTTGCTCCCTACTCCAGAGCTGAGCGCTACAAAGCACAGGTCAGTGGATGTTTTGTGTGTCCCGGTGGCCCTCTGTGCAGGCTCCCCTCTCTCTGGAGCCAGGGAGGAGGTAGGGTGATACAGAGCTGGTCGGGCTTGGCTTTCCTCAGGCGTTAGAGCCAGCAGCTCCTTTATGCCTCAGTTTCATCTCAAAAACAGGCAGCTCATGTTTCTATCAGAGCTGGCACCTTCACCTACCATGTGCTGCCTGCGCCCTGGGGCGTTAGCCATTGCCAACCTCAATCACCCCAGCCCAAAGAGCCCTCCTGAGAGCTGTTTCAACCCAGCTTGGACCTGTTGTGGCTTCACATCCATATTTCTTCCCTTGCAGGAGGACCGTCGGGAATCCAAGCTGACCTTGCGCCCCCCTAGCCTGGCTGCCCCATATGCCCCAGTCCAAAACTGGCAGCACCAGCCAGAGAAGCTCATCTTTGAGTCCTGCGGGTATGAGGCCAACGTAAGTGGCTTTTGGCTTGTGGGTGTGACAGGGATGAGGAGGCTCTGGGATCAGGCCATTGCATGTGGAGTTGCAGGGCCATGGCATTGCCTTAGCAGGGTTTAACATCTCCCCCTCCTCCGAACAGTACTTGGGCTCCATGTTGATCAAAGACCTCCGAGGGACAGAGTCTACACAGGATGCTTGTGCCAAGATGAGGGTATGGAGGCCCTGGGGCCGCTTGCAGCCTGTGGTGGATGGTGTGGATTGGGGGATGGGGGATTTCAGTGAAGCTGCAGTTCCCCAAACCCTGCAGGGGCCCAGACCACCAAACAGGCGGTGCCGCTGTCGCTGGTGAACTGCCCCTCCCTGGCACTGTTCCCCATAGCTGGAAGGTCTGTGCAGTGGGAGAGTGGGTGTTTTCACTGGGGAAGGGGTGGCTGGGTTCACTTCAGGTCCCCATCCCTCCCCTTCTGTTTCCACCAGGAGCTTGCTTTCCTCCTTCTGGTCCAAGACCACCACAACCTGCCTGTATGGGCCTGGGGGTCTCTGGGGTGGGCCGGGGCAGGGGTGAAGAAGGGAACATCCATTCATAGCTGGTCACTTGAATGTCCTTGCTTCTGAAGAAATCCACGGAGCACATGAAGAAGGTCCCGACCATAATCCTGTCTATCACATACAAAGGGGTGAAGTTCATCGACGCCTCCAACAAGGTGAGCTGCAGATGACTTGGTGTCTGGAGGGACAAGACCTGCAGTCTCACCTGCCTGAGGGCTGCAGATCACTTTTTGTGGCTCTAGAAGCCACGGCTGGTCCTGGGGAACTGATCAGGCTGTGGGGGAGCACCAAGGTGATGATGGTTACCTGAGTGCCAAAGGCTTGGCAGACTGGCTGTTTGTGGACCATGTTGCCATTTATTCCTGCCGTGGGAGGGAGCAGGGACTGGTTTGGCTGGGAGACTCCCTTGCCTGTCCCCAGGACACACTCCACAGCCACTGTTTGCTGGGTGTATTTGCCATCCCCAGAAGGGTGACAGGTGCTTGTGGTTGACCCTGGCAGAATGTCATTGCTGAGCACGAGATCCGGAACATCTCCTGTGCTGCTCAGGACCCCGAGGATCTCTGCACATTTGCCTACATCACCAAGGATCTGCAGACCAGCCACCACTACTGCCACGTCTTCAGCACTGTGGATGTGGTGAGTGGGTTACCACGTCACATCTCCCTGTTCTTTACAGTCCACTTGTTTTATCTCTCAGCTTTGTTAGCGAGTCATAGACCAGGATCTAAGACCAGAACCTTCTAAGGTTCCTCTACCATTTCTACCCTGAACTAGTCCTGGCTCCAAATGCCTTTACTTTGGACCTCTGTGGACAGTATTTGTCTGGCTTTGTTCCTGCAGTCTCCAGCGCTGAATTAAGCAGGGCAGGAGCTTTCCCTTCTGGGGAATGTGCCATGCACAAATCCTTCACATGCCCTCAATTATGTTGAGCGTAATGGGCTGATTTAACAACCTTTTAACTCACTGAGAAGGTGGAAGCATGATTTGCTTTTATACTTGGGGAAAATTAACTGCATGAGATGTTTGGGCTTTTTCTCTTTGCGCTGCTGAACTGTAGTACTGGTGGGGCTAAGAGGCAGGCAGGAGGTCCTGGGGGAGGCGCAGGGACTGTGCACGAGGTGACCTGATGGCTTTGTGCTCTGTGCTCTCTCCAAGAACCTGACATACGAGATCATCCTCACGTTGGGGCAGGCGTTCGAAGTCGCCTACCAGCTGGCCCTCCAAGCCCAGAGAGCAAAGCCTCTTGGTGCTGGAGCAGGAGAAATGATTGAAACAAAATCTTCCAAACCAGTGCCTAAACCACGAGCTGGCATGAGGAAATCTGCGGTACGTGTGTGCAGGCGGGAGCGATCTGCTGGTCTAAGCTGGGCTTTCTCTTGGGCATCACACGCTTACACCTCCCTTGGGTGGTGGGGGGAGCCCAGGTGTGACTGAGGTACCTGTGAGTGCTGACACCGCAGGTCTGTGCCTCTGTCAGTCCTGTTGTGGGGTTGGGACTTCCCCTGGTAGGGGGAGGGCAGGCAGAGGTGGAAATAACCTGGTGGAAAATGAGGCTTAAGGGCCCTGCTGGGTCCAGCACAGCTTCCATGTGCAGTGAGATCCATAGTGTGACCTGTAGTTTGCAGTACAGGGTTCCCCTGTAGCCAAAACCAGCCAAGACTGGAGCTGTTGAGGAGCAGGGACTGCTGCCATAAGCGACTGCCTTCCTTTAATGTCTCCTTTTGTCTGTGTTCTGCTTGCTCCCCCCGCTCAGGTGCCGCTCCCTCCCGACACCCGCTGTTGTTACTGTCACACCTGTACAACACACCGCCCCTCCTACCTGCCGCTGCAGTCTGTTAGTCCTGGAGCGAAGGTCTTTACCCTTCTTCCTGCCATCCTCCCTTCCGAACCGACCCAGGCTGCCTCCCCACTTCCCATGTCTCCTGCTGTGCTCCTGTGTCCTGCCTTGCTGCTGTCCTCCCCCTGCTCATTCCAGCCTGGGCCATGGGTTCGGACAAGGCCCGGGGACATGCTGCTCCCACCTGGTCCTGCTCACGCAGTGAGGCAGTTCTCAGCTAACCCTGATGCTCTTGCTGGTGGTGGTAACTTCTCTGTGGCACCCTGATTGGCACTGAGTGGCAAACTGACTTCAGACTGAGGGCTGTGCTAGTGAGGATCCAAGCGAGAGGACAAAGAGTGAAAGGACTGTCTTGGAAAAAAGAGAAAAGGAAAGCTCAGTCTAGTACATACATTTCATGTGCCACAGAGCCCCCTGATTTAAGAGGACAAAAGGAAAGAGCTGTGCTTGGTCAGGAGAGTAAATCACATGGGAGCTCACCTGCCAGGAGCTGTCTCTCTCTCTCCTGTTTTTGTAGTACTCCATTTTTCATGCTTGTTGGAGATGAGTGAAGCTGTCACCAAGGGTGACAGGGATTCGCAGCCTAACGCAGGAAGTCATCTTGGGGTGCTGGGTTGAGACTGACGTGGCCAGACATGTTTAGATGTGAAGGACTCAAATGTCTCCCCAGCAAGAGCTGCTTCCTTGCCCATGTGCACGCTTCTGGGACAGGCAGTAGGCAGAGCAGCAGTTACTCTGTGCTTTGAATCCCCACTTGTTCTGTCCCAGAAGCATGGGTGACCTAACATGCCCTTTTCTCCTTATTTTCTAGCTGGATCCCCCTGAAGTGGACCAAGACTCCCAGTCTCATGCCAGTGTCTCCTGGGTCGTCGACCCCAAGCAGGACTCCAAGCGGACCCTCAGCACTAAGTATGAGACCACTATCTTCTAAAGCCAACACCCGCGTCCGCCCCGTCTAACCGTGCCTTTGCGATCTGATCTGTCCGCTCTGCTAAACTCCCTCTTCCTCCAGCTGCTCGCCCTGAGCCCGCGTAGGCACCACGTCCAAGGCAGCAGCACTTAGGAGACTGTAGACTTAAACAGCTTTTGTACCTGATCGCTGCTGAACACTGTGAATCTCCTTACTCGGAAACAAGGGTAACGCTGTAGCTGAATGTGAGGCGGGAGGAGCAGAGGGCAGGCTGGGAGTCGGAGATGTGGATCCAGGAAAGCCGCCTGCCATTTTCACGTCTTCCCCCTCGCTCTGGCACTGTGAATCCCTGGGGCAATGTGACACTCCCCAGGCCTTTTTTTCTATCTCACCTTGTCCTTGGACTGACGGAGACCTCTTGTCTCTGTGGTGCACACACTCCCTCCTCCTAGATCCTCCTCTTCCCGACTGAACCACGGCTGTATACTGTTCAGTGAACTCACCTCTCCTTCCCTGCCAGTCGAGTTGACACTAACCACTGTGATGCTCTCTGCAAATAACACGCGGGCACTCCATTTCTCACGGTGACCCTTGCCCGCAGTCTCGCTTCTCAAAGCCCGGCGCAGAACCCGCTCTGCTGGGGGAGCGCTGGTTTAGGCTGGGTTCATCGTTCCCACTGTGAGCTCTGTCCCCTCACAGATGAGGGGGGGGGTTGGTTGCATGCATTTCAGTCCCTTGTAGGTTTTTCTTCATCCCATAGTCTCCTGTTTACACTCACCAGACTACTCGTGAGCTCTGGGCGTAGTTCTCATGGGGCAGCCTGTGGTTAAGCTTCCAAAGGCACATGTTGCTGTGAGCCCCGGTCTGGAGAGGGGAGGTGTGGGCTGGACACCGAAAGCACAGTTGGCATCAGCAGAGAGAGGTCAGGGAACAGCCCTGGGTTATTTGCTCCTCATGTTAAGGGCAGCAGCAGCTTGTCTTGAGCTTTGCTAGGGCTTTGCAGCTGCTGCCTCGAAGCTTCCATTTCCCCAGACTTGCAGTCAAATCTGATGTTTCAAAGTCTTTATTTAGCTCTTTCTCAGGAATGAGTTTGATCTCCCAAGTCATTTGTGACTTAATGGCACTGAGTGGCAAACTGACTTCAGACTGAGGGCTGTGCTAGTGAGGATCCAAGCGAGAGGACTAAAAGTGAAAGGATTGTGTTGGAAAAAAAAGAAAAGGAAAGCTCAGTCTAGTACATACATTTCATGTGCCACAGAGCCCCCAGTATAGGGCCAGCACTGCATAGGTGCTGCAGTGCCACCCTGCCAGCCCAGGCCTTGTGGACAGAACATTGCTGTGCCTCAGGTACTCCCCAAGGTTGGGTTTGGGTTCCGTCAGCAAAATCCCGTGCTGTAACAGTGCCCTAAGGTTTCTGTGTCCCTCAAAGAGAAACTGCCTCACTGGTGGGGGTGGCAGTGCAGTTTCTACGTGTGGGCATTCACCATGCAGCTGCCACACGTCTGCCCGACTTCAGAGGGTCTGAACTGTTCATCCCCCTGCTCTCAGCTGGGAAGGGCAGGTTCCTCCGTACTTCCTAAATCTGGGTCACTAGAGCATGTGCCTTTCAAAGGGTGACCAAACCCAGCAGGGATCACAGGCAGCCCTGCCCAAGCCACGACACTGCCAGTGTGTGTCCGTAGCCCTCACACTCGTGTCCCATCTCTGGGGCCATTCGCCTCATCTTTCCCAGCACATGTTTTTGTATGACTTGGAAATTCATTCCATTATCTCCCTTTCTGTTTGCCTCTGCAAAGCTGAGCTCCAGGCAGCCGTCTCCTACCATGGAATATAGTTACGGGCAGAGACCTGGGACACAGTGGCTGCTGACATGAAGATCATCTCCCTCTGGCACAGGCAGCTGCCTTGGAGTGGGTGCGTGGCTGCTCGGTGAGGGCTCCCAGAGCAGAGGGGGAAGGGACTCAGCCCCCTCTGAGGAAAAACGCTCTCTCTTTTCCTAGCGAAGGAAACTTGAGACTTGGAGGCAGAGAGCGATGTCACCTTTTCTAGTTTGAGACAAACGTCTCTCAACCTGTTTCTTTTTTAACTTGTGAAATGACACGGAGCAAATGCAGTTCACGGTTTCAATGTAGCATCACAGCTTTTTGTTGAGGAAAAAAAAAAAGAAATATTTACTGAGAATCCCACAGTCCAGCGAGCAGTACGATAGAAAGTCTTAGCAGGGGCATGGTGTGCACATCTCTGACGGTACTTACTTCGCTTCAGCTCTGGGTGAACAGGAGAGAACATCAAATTCTTGGATATTGCTTCCTCCCGTGTGAGAACCGTGTGGGGTAAGTCTGCATCCTGTTCTCTGAGCCACTCCATGCTTTTGTGGCAAATGGAAGTAACTTGAGGAAAAGAGTCTGCAAAGGATCTTTCCACCCAGAGCGGTTGTGGCCAATATCCCCAATGGTACAAAGCTTCCTTATCCCCTGAACTGTCGCGTTGCAATACTTGACATTTCTATGGCAAGGACCCCGTTTCTTCCTATTTCCGCACTGAATTCCTGGGGACGACTCCCTCCTCCAGCCTCTGTGCACCTGTCTTGTTTTTAAATGCAGTTATGCCCTGAAGGGGTGGGGGTTTTTAAGTATATTCAGTTGTGATTTAGCACTTTTTTGATACTAGCTCATTATTTAATTAGTGCAACAGTTTCAGAAGATGAACAAATAAGGAGTTAAATTTTGGGCATTACAGTGAAACAGTCCATTCCCAAGGATAAACCACATGAACCTGAGAGTGGCTTGGCCCTGTGCAAGCCCAGTGTCCCCAAAGACACAACCTCGAAGGTGCTGTGTGCTTGCTTTTCTTTCGAATTACAGAGTGTTTAACAGTGGTTTGGGCTGCGACTGACGTGTTTTCAGACTCTTCCCCTCAGGGGAGAATATTAAAATAGTTCTGATTTAAATTCTTCAGATGCAAAACGTAGCGCAGTGTGTCCATTATGATCTTGTCAGGCCTTATCAGGGCTGTGGGACCTGCTGCTGCATGGAAACACTGTGCCCAGGTAATTCCTGTTTAACTCCAATTGCTGCTGTATGTCAGGATTTCCTTTAGTCTCTCTCACAGTGAGGCTGGGAGAGAAGTGAACCATAATCTTGAGGGCTTAGACCTGTAAAGGACTGGGAGGGAGAAGTGAAGATTTTGGGTGAAGTTGATGAATTTAGGAAATTTAACATTCCTTGTTATGCACATGTCGCAATTCATACTGGTGTTAAGTGTAAATATTTGGTGTGTTGGCAACAAGTCTTTGGTGAGATTGCAAATTGAACCTCTGTTTGGGAGGTTTCTTTTCTGACACGTGAGCTTTTTGGAGGTTGGCTTGGAGATGACATGGTGATGAAGACTCCAATCTTCAGGGACTGGGCTCGGTGACCCTGGTGGTTCCAGCCCCGTGTGTAACCCTGTGGTTGTCTTTAGTGATCCAGCCGTTCTTTAGCCAGATACTCCCTTTCTCACCTGACAGAGCAGTTTTTTTAGCAGTTCAGTGCGGTGGGATCTCTCAAGGGAGTCAGTGCTGGAGACTGACTCTGGGCCGTGCCAGTTGCTGGCTCCTGGCCGCGTTAACCCACCCACTGCACAGTATTCGGGCTCTTCCTCCCTGCAGGGTTTTGTGGTATCTGGAGGAAAGTGCCCCAAATTTCTGGTGCTGAATATGACTTTGCATCAAACTGCATCTGCTGTATTTACCTGCCTGGGAGAAGGTGGGGCTGCCCTGGGCCTTGTTCCCCTCTTTAAGGACAGATCGTGTTTCACAGACTTTGGTTTGTGGGCTGAGCCCTCACTCAAGGCCAGCAAACAGAGATGCTGAGTTTTGTCTTTTCTTATATAGGAGGGGATGCTTTTGTTTTTTCAAATTGAAGATGCTTTATCCTTTTTTATTTTGTGTTTACAAAGAAAAAAAACAGCGCTAATCTTAGCTGTTCAGCTGACTTTAAACTTGTTTTGGGATTGTTCTTTTTAGAAGAAATTATGCAACCTTTTTGGGGTACATGCCTGTCCCCCCTCCCAGGGAGAAGATATGGCACCTTCCAGGCTGTACCTGTCATGAATTCTGTACCTTCAGGAGGCTGCAGAGACACAGAGCAGATGCCAAATAGCACCCGAACACGTCCCATTCTGTGTGCAGCTGAGGTGGAGCCGGTGCTTTAACGCTCCTTCCACCCACCTCGTAAGTTTCCAGCAGCAGCATTTCCCTGGCTCTGCTCACATCAGTTCCATCCATCAGATCCGTGTTCTGGAGCTGGTACAGCGCTCACAACGCTGTCTTGTTGCAAAGGTCTCCCTTTTAGGTCTCGCACTGGTATTACTTAATTGCATTTTTTTCCCAAAAGAAAGTACCTGTGCTGCTCTCACTAAGTCAACCCAGCTCAGACATTTTTCTTGCCCACAGAAGAATAACCTGGGATTCCCTGACAGGGCAGAGACAGTCAAGTTCAGTTTGCAATGTGGACATTTTTGCTAATTGTGATGTATGGCAGTGGGGCTGATTTGTATACAAATGTTATTTAATCTGTCTGTATTTTGATACTTGAATTTCCTTTTATTTCCTGTATATACAATTGTTAATCTGTTCGAATTTGTCTGAATTTTAAACATCTTGTGGTACCAAACGTAACCAATCTGTGCAACAACATAGACTGACCTCACTACAACAAGGCGAGATTGTAAATATTCCTGGGCTTCCAGCAGTCGTTTTGTTGTTTTCATAACTGTACAACTTAGAACAGACCGAATTAATAAACAACCTTAGACACGTGTTTGTGCTGTTGTCTGTGGCCTCTGTGTTGTACCCAAGTCTCTTGGGTGTCTGTGTCAGAGCAGTTCTTGTCCTGTGGGTGCCAGCCCAGGGTGGTTTGGGGCCATGCATGGGGGTAGCACTGAGGGCTGAGCAGCTGCTTTGGTTGAAGCTGCTCTGCTCTTCTCTGCAGCTAGTCATAATGACCCAAATATTGAATATTATTATTTTGAGACAAACTAATTTATCTGTAAAAATGCATCCACGTGCTCTGTTGAAGGCAGCACAAGGGTCTGCAGGCACTGCGGGTGTGTTCTCCGCATGATGGTGTGTGAGAAAAGCTGATTTTTACCCCCAATAATGTACATCTGCAAGGACTGTGCCCCTGGGGACTGTCAGGACCTGAATGTACTCACAATAACCACTGAGATCCCTCTTTTGCAGCATGGCAGCGAGTGGTTCCAAGGGCCTGTTTCAGCAGCCATAGCTTGTAGCATTTACCCAGCGCAGACCTGGGGCTTGTCAGGAACTAGGACATTTCATTATGTAAAATTAGAGCAAGGAATCTAGACATTTAAGTACAGGTTAAAGTTCAGATTTTCATGTCAAGTAAAATCTGGCCGATGTAAAATACGAAATACACCAGGGATTGCTAAATTTATACTGTATGTTCCATTTCTAATAACTCAGGTTTTCAGGCTGGCACTGAACTACATGGAGCTACTTTAATGGTTTGAAAGACTGTTGGGTTTTATCCCTCACAGCCACAGCCCTGGCTGGGACCGACAGCTCAGCAGAGGCTACAGGCCCAGGGCAGAATTAACACCTGAGCTGCACTGCAGTTCAGTGAGCTCTGCAGCCCCTTGCCTTCCCCCTCAAATGGTGGCAGGTTTTTTGAGGAAAGAAGGCCACTACTTTTTGTAGTTTAGAGGTTTATTCAGATCCTGACATACCAAGGGGTACTTCCCGCTGACTCTGGTTGAGTGGACTTTTACAAGTGAGGCAGGATCTGAGGAGCTGGAGAATGGATTCCACTCCTGCCTGGTACACAGAGAATGCGATGAAAATAATCCAGCTTGCATCTGGGAGAAGTACCTTCCTGAGAATTCCTGGACTCCTGCCGTTTGTGGTGGATCACACTTCCAAACCTACACCCAACTTCCAGCAGCATTTCCTGAATGGGGAAGGGCCTTTGGGGAAATCTTTTTGAGAATTATGTCCATCAAAGAAAATTGAAAGGCTGAGGAAGGAATGAATCCACTGCCCTGCAGGGAGTAAAAGTATGAAAACAAAAAATTATTGGTCAATCAACCTTTGCACAGAAATCTCCCATGAGAGAAGCACAGCACTTTTCAGGGAAACTCTCCAAGCCTTCAGAGAAGATCAATAGAATATTCTTCTAGCTAGCGCTTGTTTTTGCAGTGAGAAAATGTCAGGCACTTAAACAGCTCTTCAGCTAAAACGCTGACACCTCAGAGGGAGCTCCGCTGCAGAGTGTGCTTTGTTCTTGTCATAGTCACAGCTTACACAGCTGGAGCCTCTAAATCTTTCCTTATTAGTGAGTCTTACCTGACACCAGATTTAAGAACTACTTAGTACATCATGATATATAAATAAATAAATATATAAATATAAATAAATATATAACTTTATATATAAATAAATAAATATATTTATATAAATAAAACAGGCTCCAACTTCTTCGACTTATTTCAGGAGCTATCTCATTTTCTTGTTATTTCTAATGTCATACCCGAACCACCTTCTCCTCCATTCTCACACGTTTTCTGTTACGTGACAGAAGCCAAGCCTGTGTAGATATACACATCTGTAGCTAGATATGTATACACACACAGAGAGCTGTGTGGAAGAAGCTGATCCCTGGCAGTCCGATGCTGCTCTGATGACAATTTCATCCACAGTGGTAGGTGTGGAAATGTAGCTCCGTAGCTCCTCCAAGGAGAGAACTGGCGCAGGGCTGGCTGCACAAAAGCAGGATAAAAGTAAGAGAAGGAACGCGAAGGAAGGGGTTAAAAGCATTACCGAGCAGCTTTTGAGTGAAAACGTGCAGGTTTGCGTACAGAAAAATGTGCTGTGGGTGTGAGGGGACGCTCCGCCACCGCCACCGCCGCCTCGTCCCCGCGATCCCCGGCGCGGGGCTGACCCCTAGTGCCGGCCGGGAGCGGCGACCGCGCCGCCTCAGCGGGTAACACCGGGCACCGGCCCGGGGACACCGAGGCACACCGACTCTCACCGCCCCGGGGCTCCGCGCCCGCCCCCGCCAGGCCGCGAACGCACCGTACCCGGACTCCGCATTGGCGCGGGGCGGCGCCCCCTGCCCCGCGAATGGGCCGTGCCAGGCGCTGTCCAGAGGCGGCGCGGCGGGACGCTCCCATTGCAGGCGATGGGGGGAGCGAGGGGCGGTGGTCCCGGTGCGAGGCGTGTCCAGGCGCCGCGACCCGCAGGCAGCGCAGGTTCCCGTCCCTGCCATCCCATCCCAGCCACTCCTTCCTCGCCATCCCGGCCGTGCCGTCGCAGGCTCTTCATCCCGGAGCTGCGGCGGGAGCAGCCGGGAGGCTGCAGGGAGCGCTGCCGGCCGTGCAGCCGCCGCGGCATCCTCCCTCCCTCCCTCCTCCCCATGTCCATCTGGGCTTGTCCGTTTTCCTTTCCGGCGGGCCCAGAGGGAAGGCCCTGGCTCCGGCCACCTGCTGTAACCTCCCCTGTACTTCGCCGGGATTAAATCTTCCGAGGGGCAAAACCACAAAGTCTGGGATGAGGCTCCTTGTGTGCCAGTAAACAAATTGCCTTTCTTCTCCCTCCCAGAACTTCCTTTTTTGTTTATTTCCTCGGCACCTGTGCAGCTGGGGCTGGCGCTGGGCGGTTACGGAGTCTCCGGGCAGGCTGCAGGGCAGCTGCTCAAAGCCACAGGAATGGCTTGTGAGCAGGAAAGCAACTGGTCATGAGAAACAAAACCAGTAACGCTCACCATGGGACCCGTTTGGCCCAAATCCTGCCCAGGAATTTCCCCCTCTGCTCCCTGTTCAGCTTTGTGCAGTGCCAGACCCATCTTCTGCCCTTTTCTGATCCTTAGCTTCACGTGAGGGAGGTGGGGATGGGGAGAAGCATTTATAGAGAATAAACCAGCACAGCCCCTGAGGGGACTTCAGTTTGCTCTTGTCTCTGTTTCAGGGCAGGGCCCACTCTCCCAGCCCATAAATCCTGATCCCAAGGGAAGCAACTGTATTTAAATATATATGCATTTTCCCTTCATTAGTTTCCTCTCCCAAGTGATTGGTGACATGAAGAATTGTAATAGCAGTATGTATTTTTAATGCATTTCCTGCAGATTTCTGCAAAGCAATCTTAATTCCTGAGTGGCTTTAACTTACCAGAAAGGCAGAAGACCTCAGGAGCACTGGTAATAGGCAGGGTGGGTTCTTCTAATCTAGTGTTTTAATGAGCTCCATCCATTTCTCTGATTATTCTAATCTCATTTATTTTAGCCAACCCATCTAGCTGAAATCCCAGCAGAGGAAATTGGGATTTTGAGTCTTTTCAGGGTGAACACTTGAGTGTCAGGCAGCAAACTCCATAGGGAGATTTCCAATTTGCCCTTTTATCGTCTCAGAAATTTGTAACCTGATGATCACATTGGAAAAGGACCACAAATGGTATTGATGAGGGGGCTGTGGAGACCCCATACAGATCATCTGCTCTTTTTGAAGCAATTTCCATAAAAAATCAAACCCAGCCTGGTGCAGAGGGCTCAGCTTTCCTAGAAGGCTCCCATTTTCCCAGCAGAAGCAGAGAGAGCTGCACGGTGGGAGCATCCTCACCACAGGAGGAACTCACTGTAGTTCCACCACAGTGGAACAGCCACCCTTTTGCAGCCCCACCGGCACGACTGTGCTGGGCGCAGCAGCAGGGAAGGGCCTGCCAGTGCAAACAGAAACACCTTCCCCATGGAAGGGGAAATGGATTTTTTGTTTAAAAGATGGTGGTGTTTTTCCAAGCCTGACAAATATGAAAGTCCCCATTTAAAGGAGTTGAACCAGCAGTGAAATTGGTCACTGTTTGCACACCCACACACTGCCAGAGGCAGCCGAAAGCAAACTTCCTGGTGTATCCCAATCCAAATCACCTGGGAGTGAAGCACAGTGCCCCAAGCTGTGAGCCACCCTGCTGAGCAGCCACAGAGGGTTTTCTGCAAAATAGCAAACCCAGGCCAAAGAGGAGGGGCAGACCCAAGGTGGTGTCACAGCCCCCACTTCCAAAAAGGGAGGGAATTAGGAGCATGCAAGCTACAGCTATGGCTGTTAGAAATCGGCCTTCAAGGAGGAAGGCAATGGGGACAGAAGGCAGAAAGTGTTAACAGGTGTTTTGGGAGGGTGTGGAGGGGAGAGCCAGGAGTTTTCCTCTGCCCCATCAGCCAGGAAAGCTATTTTTTCAGGAGCTCCCAGGGCACCAGACAAGGTTTGGATTGTTTCTGTGCTGGATGCTGGTGGGAGTATGTGGGCAGACAGCTGGATCCTGAGGAGCTCCTGGCAGGCACGTGAAAGGGTGTTGTCCACCTTGTCCAGGTGAGAGGATGTCTTGGTATTGGGTCTGATTTTGATTGGGAGTCCTTTGGAAAAACGAGTGTCTGCTGCCATGATGGCTCTGGCATGGGTGTCAAGGTGTGTGTGTGCCTGTAACACACCACATGCTTCACCAATTACTATGGTATCTGATAATTCCCTCCTCCTGAACTGGTATGTGACCTTTTCTGAGACATCCCATATGTGTGACCTGGCTGTTGCCACCTCAGCCACAGTGCATGTGTCTGAGCTGGGGGGACAAGTACTTGAAGCAAACCATTACCCATCCTGTCCAGTCACCTGTGGGCAGTGCCCATTCTCAGGGCATTTCAGACCAATCTGTCATCTGTGTATTTAGGAGATGAGTTGGTGCTGAGGCTTGGAGGAGTTTGGCTCATGGTAAACAGCCTGGCCAGAGCCCAGGCATCATTGCCAGGAGATGTGCCTGGAGCTGAGAACATGATTCTTGTGCCATCTCACCCCTCTGGATGCCCCTGGACCTGGAACTGCTTTTGGGCCCCACGTGCCAGGTTGCTGCCAGTGCCACAGGCTCTGGGTAATCTTTGTATTTGCTGACTTAGTTGTGGGTCGGTGCAGAGCTCGACTCTGGGGAAGCTGAGGTATGGGGAGGCCCAAACCACACACAGTGCTCGGGAAGGGATTGTGATAAAAAAAAGTTCAAAGGTGTTTTTGGCTTAATGTGGTTTATCTAGATTGCTTTATGTTCATTAATCTGGATTAACACAAATTCTCTTGGAATGGCTGGCTGGGGAAGGGTTTGTTCAACTATTCTGACAAGGACAGACTTTTTCAAAAGTGAAAAGTTAGAACAGGGGGGGAAAAAAAGCCAAGTCCTGCCTGGCATGAAAACATGCAAGCCCTACTGCCCACATCCAAGGGCCCCCTTCAAGGGCTGTCAGGTGTCATCAGCACCTGTGTACTCTAATGCTTGATCAACCTCCCGCACTGCCAGGGAGGATTAATGCCCCCCATTCTTCCTGAGACGATGTGAACCCCTTTTTCAGCCTTTGTACCAGAGCTGGCACAATTAGTTAGTGAACTTCAAGGTAAACTGGAGGTCAAGCCCAGATTTGAAGGTGGTGATGGGTGTGAGCATGACCGAGGGAGCCATGTGATGTGGGTGACGTCCTGGAAAGGCAGGTGATCTCCCCGTCCTCTCCTCTCCCTAGGCCTGGGATTAGGAGAGATTTTACAGATGAGTGGTTGGCCTCATGGTAAGGTTTGGTTCACAATGGCTCAGCCCCCAAGCTCCTTGTCAAAGAAACTTTTAGGTCTTTTATGGCAAATTTGTATGCCAGCAGGGCATTTCGTGCCTGATGGCTGTCGCTGGGAGGGACCACACCTTTGCATTTGTAGGGACTTCCCACCTTGAGAACAGGCAGAGAAACACCCTGTGGGGAAACTGGGACTCATGGAGGAGGATTGCAAAGCTCAGCCCGTTGGACAGGGTTGTCTCATGCCTGAGCATTCACTTGGATCTGGGCACACTTTCTTGCCTTGCTAAGCTTCTTGTGCAGCCTCAGGCAAGTCCTTGCACCAGCTGTCACCCCTTTCCAATAGCTGCCTGTGATCAGGGATGCTTGGGTGCCACAGGAAGGGGACTTGAGACCTCTTGGGGACTGACAGATCAGTTCCACGAAGGACTCAGCTCCAGCTCTCAGCAGCCAGAAGCAGCAACAGGCAAGCAAAGCGCTCCTGCCGAGCTGGGATGGGAGTTGTAAGCAGGACCTGGGCCCTGCCCCAAACCCAGGGGACTCCCTCCTCCCCCTGCCTGTGCAAACACCAGATTAACAATTTGTTTGACATGTTGTGGCTGGTTAGTCTCTTTGCCTGCTCCCCCGATCAGAGGGAATAAGTGTTGCACTATGCAATAGTGTTCATTTCAGGTGAGGGTAAATATAGAAAGGAAAACCTGCTGAGAGCAAGCCATTTATTCCTGCATTTGGAAGCCTCTGCTCATAAACAGTCAGTCATGCCCGTTTGGAAAATCCCAGCATGGTTTTCTTGGCCATCCTAGAAGAACGTTTACTTTCCTGTAGGTTAAGAAGTTTGTTTTAAATAAAAAAAATAATAATGTCATCTGACTTCCAGCTGCCCTCGGTGTTTAGGGCTTGTTGACACACTAAGGCTGCTCTGTTCTCATGTGAAAGTGGTCTGATGCAGGATCACGGAGGAGATCCTGCAGGGCTTCCCCAGCTGCCCAGGCTGGTGGAACATTGTTCTTTATGTTCCCCTTGTTTCCCTGCTTCTGTTGGCCTTGGGATTTTTTCAGATGTTTTAGCCATGAGTGGGCTTAAAGCCTTCAGCTTTTGTGGGTGCCAATGGGTGCAGAATCAGGGAGGTACTGGGGGTCCCTCAAGAGCCGTGCTCGGGAGGCTGGGGCAGAGGGATGAACCTGCCATGCCGAACTCAAGCTCACACTGGACCAGAAAATCTCTGAGGGTTTTTGGGAGAACCTGCCAAAGGCAACAGGATGGTGCAGGCTGCAGGAGCACCCATCAAACAGGGCAGCAGCCACGGTCAGCCCGTGACCTGCTGCAGCACAGGGAAGACATCCCAAAGCACTGTCATAGGAGGAGGCTGAGGAAGGTGGGGAGGCCCCCGCATGGCCAAGCTCTGCCTCCCTCCTCTGTCCCGCAAGTGGCACTGAGGAACGTTGCGAGAGAGCAAAGTGGCCGCTTGGAGTTGGACGGCTGCCCTGCATGGGCTCCGCGGCCAGCACCAGACGAGCGGGAGCCAGCTCCCTCCTCTGAAGTGTTCTGCACTCACTAAGGGTCTCTCCGTGTTTTCCGAAGGGCTTT